GTTGATGTTTCGGTAGAAACAACAACTTCCAAGGATCACACGTAGCTACACTAACATCAAAACATGATTCGTAAAGAGATGTTATTGAAAGAGTAATAGATGGTTCAAATTTGGTTGAACTATTCAATAAAATTATTTCTCTTTAAAGAAGTTACGACAGCTTCATCTAACAATCTATAACAAACTATTTGAACCTCTAAGTATTCAATGGAACACAAATTATAATTCAATTGGTGAATAGAAAAAATTACGCGAAGCGATCCCATTAAGACTGATGTCCTATGACTTGAGCTATTCAAAAGGGAGATTACAACATATCTTTTACTGAAAGGACATGGCCATCTGAAGAGATCTTCCAACAACAAAGAGTCATAAAAATCTCAAACATGCTATTAAGAATAGTTTATTGACTACAAGCATTCAACCAATAATAAATAAATGTGGTTGTACCAAAAGACCATGTCATCAAGCTAGCTAAGATATATAGCTATGTTACTGGTGTCGCAAACCTGAGTCAAGACAAAATAGTACAAGATTTTTTAGAAATTACGATATGATTGTAGTTAGATGAGTTTCAAAGTAATATATAGAACGTTATGGATGAATTCTTGATTGCTAACAGCATTCTATTCAAGCTCACAACTATTGTGAATGGATATGGAATTGATATCTACTCCGTTTTGTCAATATGAAGTCTTCTCGTTAGTATATATTTAGGTAAAGAGCTATGTGTAATTTGCATTACTTTACTAAAATATAATGATGGTAATATTAAATTTTGCAGTCGTCATGTTACTGAACGTTGTTAGCAGCTAGATTATGAATGCTTTTGTTAAGGCGTCCTATAACTATAACTTGCTGCTGCTACACAGGATACGACCTGACACCATCCTGAAATCAGTCACTATAGTGTGGCAGCCAGTTCATTATATCATATATAGATTTAATCAGTTATATTTATTTATGGCTACATATTAATCGTACGCTAATGGTGTTTTGGCTTGTGATAAGATGGTGTCAACCTGAAAGCGAGATACATCAGTATTTGGTGCTACATTCGCCATTTTGATATATCATTGTGACATTATATTTTATCAGTCATTCGAAGAATGTTTTTTATATCGATATCCTTTATGAAGATTATATTAGAAATATGATCTAACTGAAAATAATGCGTTCAAAAGACAATGTAAGTGTATTTATTGAATAAGAAATAAACTTATCAATAGCTTGATAAGTGTAATAACAGTAGTACTTTTAAATAAAGATTTTTCATGCGCTATTAACCCACCTGTTTACGTTTAAGACTAATGGTTTAATCGAGTTCTATTTCATGTCTACGGAAACTAACTAGTTATGTGAAGATCTATTGAGATATTACTTGCCCATTTCTGTTTGACGTATTGCTTTTGATTTTAAATATTTGCAGTAAAATAATGTCTTAGAGTTCATATATTATACTTCAAAATATTTTGCTAGTCAGTATATCATAGCCCATCTTTTCTTTTTTCAATTCAAAGCTATACAACTATTCTCTTTTAACTGAATAATTTCGTATTGGAACGTGAGCTCTTTTTATGCTACTCGATGTTTTCTTGTGCTTTCTTTTGTAAATTTAGTTTATATTTAGCTAATAGTATCAGATTGCATAGTATATTTATTTAATTTAGGCTGCTACTTAGATTATATCACTTACGCTACACTGGCACATAGTGCTGCCCCAACTCCACTTCCATCTTTGGCAATTTTTATATCAAGCGTTTTATTTTCACCTTTCAAAGGATCAATCAAAGCTATAGCTTCCAAAACTTTAGCTTGAAAGCCAGGGTAGAACTCTACTACAGCCCCGTCACATCCAAACTCAAAGTCTTTGTCATCGTCTGGATAATGGTCTTTAACACGAATAGCAATTGCTGATAATGGAATTGCAGATAGATAAGCTGACCTTTCAGATATTATATGAGTTAACTTCTGAATGACAATTCTTTCAACCTTTGTAGTTGGTAACCTCAATGTGTTTTCTAAAATTAATTGGGACATTCTAAGGTCCGTTGAATCATCAATTTGCAAATACGACAATACTTCTGAGTTCAATTGCCAACATTCTGAGAGCCTATGCGGTAATGAACCGCCCCTCTTCTTGTATAAATCGACAAAAATGAGCCCACGCTTAAAAAAATCCATTAGAATAACTCTTAAGATTTCTCCTAAGAACATCCCACTAATTCTTTTTTCAAATAAATGATAACCTTTATTGCTCGTCTCTGAATCAACAATATCATCATATTTGGTCCTAGGCAATACTTTCAAGCTATTATCGAAGGAGCCCCATTCTGTGTTGATGACCATGCCCCTAGCTCCTTGGGGAATTTTAGACTTATCCAACTTTTTGATCTTATCCAACTTCTCATAGTAAGCGCCGTTTGTACCAGTTCCAAATATTGCTCCAAGGATTGTATTCGCATGAGAAATATCTGGGTTATTCGAGTAAGACCTTGACAAGAGCGTCCCAACTGTATCGTTGGCCAAAGCAACAACACGTACTTTTGAGTCTAAAATATCAATGTGCGATTGCAACAATTCTACAACATCTTTATTTACCAAATCAGGCAAGTTGAAGCCTTTAGTCCATCTAAGAAGCGTTCCTCTATTCAAGGCAGTTTGGTTGACCGGAAAAGAGAAGGTAAATCCCAATTTCAAGCGCTCTTCGGATTGATAGTCTGAATGGTGCTCTACTAAAAATGCTTCGATCTTGTTAGCTAAGAAAGAAAACAAGCTATCAGCCGTAGAATTTTTCATTAAATCTAAGGGGATTTTGAATTTGGATTGTTTCATTTCAAATGTGTGGTCTCCGTTCAAATCAATTGAACACACTCTGAAGTTTGTTCCACCTAAATCCGCAGCAAGATATAATCCTGTTTCTTTTCCGTTTGGAACTCCAGTCACAAAAGTTGGAATCATAGGCATCTTCTCTCTGGAAGGCTCCTCAGCTTCTAAACCAATGTCCATCTCTTCGAGAAATTGATGAGTCGCTTTGACTAGAAACTCCTGGTCAAGTGAAAATTCTTTGGCAACCGAGTCGAGGGCAGCTTGGATTGAGCTATTCATTGTGACAAATTACTATTTGATGCTGATTTGATGTTAATAGTCGGTAGTTCGGGGCAATAACTTCAAGTTTCTATGGGGGAGAAAATTAGGAATTTCGGAGTGCGCGAGCCATGTTATTCCTTGAGTTCTTGGCTAGTAAATATGTACGGTTCTAAATAATTCTACTTCCTACTTACATACTTGAATTCCCCTCTCTTAGACTAAAAGATAAGAATACGGTTAAATTCTCCCTGTTTGATTTTCTTCAGCAAAATTTGGAGATAATTTTCACTATATGAACAGTTTTTTGAAACTAAATGACCCAGTTACTTCCTTTATCTTAGTGATTAAGTAAGCATAGTGTCATAAATTCTCTAGACGTACCATACCGCTCCCAAGTCTAACTCAAGCATCAACAAATCGTAGGTTTATCCACTTGAGGTAACGAACTTCAATATGAGGATGGTCGAACCAAAGAGGGTTAGTAGAAGAAAATGCTACATTAAGCGTTATCATAAGACTCTATATTTCTATTCCTTTCAATGCGCTGCCACAGTTGGACGAGTCTTTCCAAAGTTCACCACAAAATCACGATATTTGAACGAAAACTGCCCAGACAAATATTTTAAATTTATCCTCTTGTTGGAAGAACAATAATCCAAAAAAAGATCAAACAAACGAATAATCTTCTGATGGTTTCGGCAGCATTCCGTAAGAAGGCAGAAAATTACATATCCTTAAATCCATATTTAATGATCTCTAAGTCGTGGTGTCCAGATTGTCACTACGCATATAGGATTTGGGAACGCTATAATGCTAGAGACAAGGTCTATATTATTGAGCTAGATAAGTTTGAAGATGTTGAGGAAGCTAAACAATTGGAAGAAGCATTTGCAGAAATTGCAGGAAGAAAATGGGTTCCTACTATTTTCTTTAATGGAAAAGTGTTCGGTACGGAAGAAGATTTAAAGAGGTTGGAAAACGAAGGCAAGTTAACACAAGTCCTCAAAGATGCTAACCTATTTTAACAAGATATTACTTAATCAATATTTATTAAAAATTACCAAATAACGATACAAGATTAATTATTGAATCAGTTCAAACTGCTAAAGGGAAACCACCAGCCCATTCCGATATCTCGGCTTTGACTGCCTTCAATTTAGGATCATCACTGTTAATAACCTTTGCCTTGAAGTCTTTCAATTTGTTAGCCTCTTTAGGTAATTGAGCTTGTAAATCCTTAGCGTAGTTGACCGCAAAATCAATGTAAGACACTATTCTTTTGAAGTCCTCTTCTCCCAAGCCTCTGGATGTCATTGCAGGAGCACCAATCCTTACACCCCCTGGTACTAAAGCAGACTTATCACCTGGAATGGAATTTTTGTTTAAGGCAATATTGATGTTCTCGCAGATAGTTTCAACCCTAGCACCATCAATATGCTTGTCCTTCAAAGAAACCAATACCATGTGAGAGTCGGTACCATGGGAGACTAATTTGTAACCTCTCTTGATAAACTCCTCTTCTAAGACTTTAGCATTCTTCAAGACCTGCTCTTGATATTCTTTGAACTCAGGAGTAGAGGCTTGCTTCAAAGCAGTAGCTAAAGCCGCAATGGTATGATTATGAGGACCACCTTGGTGTCCAGGGAAAACAGAAAAATTAATTGGATTTTCCAAATCATACATAATTTCTTGGCCAGTTTTTGGATTCACAGATCTAACACCTCTTCTGAAGAAAATCATTGCACCTCTTGGACCCCTCAAAGATTTGTGTGTAGTAGTAGTTACAATATCAGCATACTCGAATGGGGACGGGATTACACCAGCAGCAACTAAACCAGAAATGTGTGCCATATCAACAACTAAATAAGCGCCCACTTTGTCTGCAATTTCTCTCATTCTCTTATAGTCAATCAAACGACAATAAGCTGAAGTTCCAGCGACTATAACCTTCGGTCTGTACAAAACTGCGGTTTTTTCCAACATGTCGTAGTCGATCAAGCCAGTTTCAAGATCAACTCTGTAGGGCATTGTCTCAAAGTAAGTGGAAACAGCTGATATCTTACGAGAATCAGTTTGGTAACCATGTGATAAATGTCCCCCATGTGGCAAGTCCAAACCCATTAATCTCTCATGAGGCTTCATAATAGCTTGATAGACTTGCAAGTTGGCAGGAGAGCCGGACAATGTCTGTACGTTAACTCCCCACTTGTCTGGTGTGAGACCGAAAGCCTTCAAAGCCCTGTCTTGACATAAAAGTTCCATCTTATCTATATGTTCATTACCACCATAGTATCTGGCTCCAGGATAGCCTTCAGAGTACTTATTAGACATTGGGGTTCCTAAGGCATCGAACACTGCGGTAGTAGTGAAATTTTCAGATGCAATCAAGACGATAGAATGTCTCTGTCTATCGATTTCATCTTTTATAATTTGATCAACTTGAGGATCAGTATCCTTTAAGTGACCTTCAACTAGCTGTTTATGAGATTCAGATAAGGCATAAGGCATTTTTGCAGAAGCTTTGGCAAATGTAGTAGAGCGTTTCACTAAATGAGCCGGCAAAACCCAAGTTTTTTAAATGAAGAGGTTTTAAAATTTTTCAGAATTTCTGAGTCAATCATCTTATTTTTGCGAAATCAATTTTCATTCCTCTTTCTCTGTCTTACCCGAGTCAAAAAAAAAAAAAAAAAAAAAATTAAAGGTCCATTTAAAACAGGATCATTAACAAAATCAATGACCAACTTGGAAGATATATTGAAGTCTCCAGTATTCTTTTGATTTGATACATGCCGAAATATGCTACAATAACTAGTACACTATCATAAAATATGCATTGACATGATGGAAAAAATACGTTCTTTCGTACATAAAATAAATCACGTTGTAAATATAATCAGACTTCTTTTCTCCTGTTTCTCATGTAGTAATACAAGAGACGAATGAGTTAGATTCTCATAAAAAAAAATTCAGTACAAAGTTACTCTCAACCTATGAGAGAAGGCCAACTTAGGAACAACAACACATAAGCAACTAACACCATTTAAAATGAATAAGTTTAAATTATATTTCGAATAATGCGTACTAATCAAGAACAAAGCGATGGGAACTAGCATTAAAAACTTCTTTGTTGGTGTATATTGGTCACCATTATCTATTTGTTCCCACATTGTGAGGTTGTCATACGCCCCTGAGTTAAATTCGAATGGAGTTCCCTTAACTTGATGAAACATGATATAAGATCCAATATCGTAGCTAACGTTTGTCAACGTCCATTTCCAATCGTTGTCTAACACAGATATAAAGTTAAAAAATACCTTCAAGAAAATAATTAAGACAACATGAATAATCCAAGCACCTTTAAAATGGACCCAATTGGCATTCCAGTTAGGGTTCAATGATTGGTCTATTTTTGTTTCCAATGTGTCTGGTTCAAGATGCTGAATGATTGAGGATGATCTCCTTTGTCTCACTGAATGCGCAGAGTGGTGGGACGCTGTGGGTGACAAATTGTCGTTATTGACGGTTAATCCATCAGTATTATCGGGTGTAAGGCTTGCCATTGCTTCTATAGACTAAGACTAACTGTGCTTCTCTTGTATTCTATTATTCGAGGTAAAAGTAGATTTATTATCAAAATGATAAAAATAGACGAAATTCTGAGCTTCGGGAAGTTTCGTCTTCCTCTTCCAATATAGTTCCTGATATCAGAGCTTAGTGTTTATTCAGAATAATTTTGCCTCAACTGGATTTTGTCTTTCTGTTTTCTTTCGTGACGAATCGCCATCGTATATGTGTTTTTGCTCTTCATAATTGTTCCGTAAAATTCGATCACTAGATTGAACTACAAACTCCCTTACCCGCATTTCTCTACAAAACTATTAAAATAACTAAGATCACTCTAAACTTGGAACAAATATACCGCAAGAGTGCCACCCTGCTGCTGCTGCTGCCAACCATTTCCCTGAAGCAGCCGGTCGTTTAACTTTCATTGGCCTTAAAACTTCCATACCATTCTGCCTACCTAAATCGTTCACATTGCCATTGTTGTTATCAATAATCTCCTGCTTTGGTCCAAGCCCTAGGCATCCACATTGTTTCGACTCAGTACCCCAACTTAGCATCTCTCCATTACTTGTTAATGCCAAATAATGGTAGTCTCCTATTGTAACGCTAGTTATATTTCGATTCTGTAATTCTGGAAGAATTTTTGGAGTTTCCAAATCTTTCTGTCCTAGTAAGACCAGCCCATCGTTAGTGAAGACTACAAACTTATTATAGCAACCTTCTAGTTTAGTGAATCTAGTATTCTTTCCTATCTCTGAACCACGTTCCAGTAAATATTTGTTGAATTCATCAACCTTTTCGAGATCTTCTATCATTGTTTCATCACGATCCCCAGTTGCAAAAGCGTGTGCATTTATTGAAAACCGATAAAGTCTCCCATCACCCTTTATAATCAAGACATAGTCGCATCCCGCCATAAAGTCGACAATTTGACTGTGTTTTGTCTCTGGAATTATAACATATCTCGCCTCGGAAGTCATGGTTTTATTGATATAATTCTCTTCTGTTAGTGGTATCCTCGAATACCATACAACTAGTCCAATCTGATCGATTTGACAAACAGACAAGTTCCATCCTGCGGATATCTTAGAGATTAACTTGTTATCTAAACCAGGAAACAATATTCGAACAGCCATCTTAGACGTATTCCCTGTGTCCCAAGAATATAAATTATGATAGTTATCCAACGCAATTATATGTTCCCTTCCACTTGAAATAGATACTATCTTTGCGTCAGTTTTTCCCACTTCAGGAATTTCAAGCTTTGTTACAAAGCTAGTCTCTTTGGGGCTTTTTTGATTGATAGATTCTAAAGATGGAGGGTAAGATTGTTCCTCCGGAGGAAGTGTTAAATTAGGGTTCGTAGGACGTCTTGGTTCATTGCTTGCGGTAGACTCACTAATGTCTCTATCATTTCTAGACCAAGATCCGGGCATTCGAGAACCTGAGTTAGTTGGAATTAAACGTCTTGAGCCAAGATTCACAACATGTGGTATTGAAGTGGTAATTAATGCATACAGTGGTGAAGGTGTGTAATCATGCGATTGGAAAGGTCCAGGTGTCAGTTTTGAAGTTTCTGATTTTTTCCAATTCGCTCCAGTGAAGTATAAACTGCCATTATTAACTAAAATTTGTAAAGAAAATCCACCTGCACTGATGTCTGTAATGATGTTTCCATTGAAGTTGGGTACATTGGTTGGTGTATGTACATTTTTAGACATAAATCCAATCGACGTATGATTCTCTGGAATGTCATTTATTAAATAACCCAACCTCCCAAGCAGCGATGAACCCCAGGTATATAACTTAGCCTTAGACGAGGCTCTCAAATGAAATAAGTCTTTCCAATTGTATTCTGTTAAAGATAATGGAGTGGGCTTAGAGCCAAATTTCTTGAAATAAAGTATTCGATAAACTGCATTCGTTGTTAGAACCAGATGTATCGCCTTCGAGGTCAAAGAAAAATTGAATACATCATCAGGAGATAAAAATAAAACTATTGTTATTAAAGTATCATCATCTAAGTCACTTATAGTCATTCTATGTATCAATGTTTTTCAATTTCAGGCACTTAAGTTTCAGAAAAGACACTTCTAGTGAGTTGCTTGCTAAAAAAGAATGATAAGAATTTCGCACTGCAAGAATCGTAATTAGATAATGAAGGTCCTTTTGCTTACAGTTTTGAAGGATCGATTGAGCCTACCTAAGCTAAACTGAATAACGTGTATTATATATAAACTAGCCCCATGGTAAAATAAGGGCATACAGAAACTGCATGAAGTCAATTAAGATTCTCTTTTTTAAACCCCTTCGATGAATGTAATCTCAAGTTAAATGATTCACAGCATAGGAAGTGTCGCTTCACTAGTCAAACCCGGAGCGCCTTCATCCAACGCTAGAAATTTTTAAGCCTTGAGATGCACCACTGATTGAATTATTATTAAAATTGAACCTTCGATTGAAATTTTAGTTTCAGCATACTCTTATTAAATAAATTAATGGACTATTCATCGAACACAAACACCAAAACAAACTAAAACACCTAATCTAACCCAAACCAAAGAAGTTAATATTTTAAAACTGAATGGAAAAAAAATCTTCGATGTTCAAAGGAAGTTCAGCAGTATTTATGGGCACTGAATCCAAAGATTCGTTTAAAAGAGATGAAAAGTCAGTCTTTCCATTTATCAAACTAGTTGTGTCTACGAAGTTGGGTATGAATGGTGCTGCAGACCGCAAGGATTATTAGTGTATACGTGGAATCACCAATTGACTAATCTTGAAGTGATAAGAAAATTGCTGCGATGCTATAAATTTCGTTCACAAGCGTAGCACAAGAAGACCGAGGTCGGCAATGGAGATTCCACGTATATTAATTTGAGTGTAGTCTCCTCCTAGATACGTAAACCCAAATTAATATACTGCTCCTGACAACCTTAGTCCTCTCTTTACTTAAGCTACCCATGTCATTTCAAACGAAACAAGCAGAGAACTTTCAAAATCTCAACAGATAGCCACAGAGGCTCCTACGCCATATCCTTTAGATAACAAAATTTCTTCTGAATTTTGCTCCATTGATTCATATCCCTTCTCCGAGTCATTAGATTCACTAGAGATAGATGAACTAGACCCTGACTCCTCATCTAATTCGAACGGTGTCAACTGGTCACTAGATTTCTTTAATGTTAAATCTATGGGAGAACCCACAGGCGAGTTCATAGATATTGGTGACAAGTAATTAAAAAACACATTGTCACTTGTCACCGATAACAATTCATTTTCGTGTTCCTTCTTGATTGGAGGCAACTTCTTTTCGGTTGTTTCGTCCTCTTGGTATTCGTCAGCGTCCTCTGGCTCCTCTGAGTCTTCTTTGGGCTCTAACTGAGAGCTACTCTCAAAATCGATATCATCGTACAGAGTGCTGCTTGATCTTCTCTTTTTCGTTGGTGGCTCAGTCACGGACTCAGTTGAGAGCTGTTGATCGCTAGACTCAGCAGCAACAGAGCTGCTCAAATTTACTTGTATTTTTTCTTTCAACTCCTCTAAATTATTCAACTTCTGCAAATTCATCCCAGCAAACTTATCTTGTGGAACCAATTCTACAATTGCATCAAAATTTTGCTGCAAACACTTCATGTTCTCCTCTAACTGAACAACATAACTTTCGAGGTACTCAACATGTTTTCTCTTCTTCTCGCGTGAAGCATGTGCCGCTCTTCTATTACGAAGAATCCTTTCAACACGACGTTGTTCCTTCTCCTCCTTCGTTTTAGCCCTCTTTCTTGGTGGCAATGTCGACTTGAAGTTAGGATTCAACTTGTCTGCGAGTTCTGTCATAATTTCTTTATTCTGACCTTCTCGTAGAAGTTACTTTCTTACTACTTGACGTGGCAAATACTTCGTCCCCTAACTTTGGATCATTCGCCTTTAAATACGACTGCTCAGCGGTTGGCGTGTCCATTAAGTAGGCACAAAGAGTGTATTCCGGCTATAAATAGAGTACCGGTCAGTTACTTATGTGATTCCGACCGTATAAGCCCACAAACATCCTCCAAAATCTAAGCTTTCAACACGCTCCTCCCCTCAGAACTGCACACAAATTTCTGGGCCAGAACGTAGGGATGAATATAAGGTTCGCGAACTCGCGGCATTGCATTGCCTTGTTGCTCCTCTGGCTGTGTGCCGGTTGACTGTTTTGCGATACTCGACCGAGTATTTGATGACGTGGCGATTCGAGATTCAGAACGTCGCTATGTTACAGATGACGAAGTCTGAAACACTACAGATAAGCCTCAAGAGCTGTCGACCATGTAGAATAGAAGAATCATGTAGAAGTCTTTTAAAGATAAGAAAAGTTTTTACACAATGACGAGGACTCTTGACGATAACTCAAAACAATTGTTTTATAACATCTTTACAATACTACTTTGCCGAGATGTGTATCTATTATTAAAAAGTCGAAACTTTCTTCGTTGCCGAAGCAAATGTAAACCTGATTTATTTTTCCGGTATTCTGCGATCCGACTCGATACAGGGTCTAAGAGCTCGAGTACTAGGAATAGGAGAATTACGTGCAAGTCAACACCCACACTAATAATAGAATAAACTATTATTTCATATCTTTGTACTACGTTTGCGCTCAACAAGAACTTTGAAATTAATAATGTACGTCCTATTATTTATCGTGTTTCTTGTGATTATTGTGAGTATAATAATAAGTGGCGAAGCGAATTGGATCTGTCCTGATATGCTGCAATGTACTACGGCTATTTGAAAGAGAACAGTAGACTTTTCCTATTTGCGATTTAATGTCAAAATCATATTCCGACGCTGTGGTATATACACTACAAGTAGAATCTGGGTATCTTTGATAATATGCCATGCATTAAGCAAACAAGGCTATCGAAATCCTACTTTGAATAGTCGTCGCTTTTATGTAAACATCTCTCAGTGCACCAGTAGTATGGAACTTATTTTAGTCCTCGGTCGTTCCAATGTCTCCAAAATGCAAAAACTTAAAACTCTCAAACCATGATCACATAAGACATACTTAATATCTGCGCCTCGGTCCTCTCTCCTTGGATGTGAGAAAACAATCGGTGGTTTATTGGAAAGGGTTACCTCTATTGTCAATAATAGATTTCTTGAGACTATGGAGTCTCTCCATAGTGGAAGAAAAAAAAACCCCCCGCTGCATGGCTGCTCGTGTTGTGTTCCTTGTCGACTCTTCCGTCAATATCGGTACTACCAATAATTGCGTCTTTTCTCTCTAGAGGGGGAATGAAATCCCCTGGAACTTTGGCCTCATGTTAGTCTCTTCATCAGTGATGCTTACAGAAAAGTGGATTTTCCCAAAAAGGTAGCAGTAACAAGATGTATTCCATTTCAAGATATATGTTTTAGTTCCATGGTTTTATATAAGCCCTTGTTTTTCATGGATCCTATCAGTCATCGACAGGAGATCCGAATTTTTCAAGTGCACCTCAAATACCTCATGTTGTGCTTGCTATAATTGAGTCGAGGTACGGGAGCGTGGTCTTTCTTGATTCTGAAATCCTAATTCCCCTTTATCACTAACATCTCTTGAATTGTTCTTCGAATTCAAAGGAATACGACACTTAACTGCTCTTTTGTTTTCTGGAATTTGACACTAATGGCTTGTTGACGTTGCTTCCAACTTTCTCTTTTTCATATCTATTGCAAAAAATTTTTTTTTTTATATTAAAAAGATCTAAGAACCGATTGAGAACTTCTTTCTCCCTTTCACTTTTTAATGGTGGTATTACTCATAAGCATGTGAAATGATAAGTTTTGATCAATATTTATATCTTCTTATTTACGGAAAGATATCTCTTTTTGGAAGTGCAGTACAGAGTTTGCAGCCAGACAAATCAGGAAATCGATCCGATTTTCAAAATTAGAAAGCTCTCTCGAGTCCATATAATAATAGTATATCAACAAATTTATTTCCGATGATTCATTTGCTGTGAAAATCATACAAAGTAACAAATTTTTTCAAGTTCAGAAAGTTAAAATAAATATCAAAATATCAAATATCAAAACTATCCAGGACTTACATTTAAACCGAAGTTTACTTCTGTATAAGGTGTTTGATCACAAAATGAGCGATTAGAGCTTGTGCTAAGTAAAAGAGTATGTCTTTCAATACGCTTCATCTTATATTTCCCATACTAAATCTCTCCAATCATATCACCACTTAATTCGTCAGTCGTTCGTATCACAAATTGGACAGTTTTATAACTTTGATTCGTTTCACGTTTTGTTTTACTCCTGAACAATATAACCTAAACTATGATTCATTCCAACTTTCTCGGTTTTGAAACATGTTGTCCCTTATTACAACTTTAAGAAAGTATTTTGTGAACGTATTTCAAAGGTGTAGGGTTTTAGATACACAAATTATTAAGTGTAACAAGATTTAAAGTAGATTGAAAGAAATGAGATTCAACTCTTTTTTTTAACTATTATTTCGCAACAAATACAAAAAAAAGGCTTGAATGACATAGATGTCCACGATATACAAATAAAGTCAGTAAAGCCAAAATAGTAGCATTCAGGCTTACGAAATCATCAATTATTAATCGGCAATCGGTGATATACACCGAAGTGCTAATTAATAATAATGTTGCACACAATTGAAAATACTTCTGATCGGTACGGTCGGTCTAATCGGCACGTATCCGATTATTGTCCGAGAAAAGCAAATTGCTTACTGATGATCACAGTTGAAGAGAGTCTTAAATAATCTGGCACAGCAGCAGCAGTGTTGCTTCTCGAGTGGTAGTAATCACGAATAATGGATACATGGAGATTGTATGCTGCAGATTATGAAGTGAGTGAAAAGGAGGATTCCTTCATAGTTGATTGGGAGCCAAGCGATATGAAGAATAATCCGATGAGTTGGTCCATTAAAAAACGATTTTGTTGCACAATTATACTTACTTTAGTATCATTTATAGTTACAATGGCGTCCTCAGTTGGCTCAGGCACATATGATGCGGTATGTAAGGAATTTGGAGTCAGTAAGGAAGTTTCAGAAATGACAACGTCTCTTTTCTTAGTTGGATTCGCTATGGGAGCACCTGTCTTGGCCCCCATGTGCGAGGAATTTGGACGACTTCCCGTATACATTGGAAGCATGCTTTTATTTTCTTGTTTTCAGATTGGTGCTGCTACTTCCCAGAATATGGCCTCCTTGGCGATATGTCGCTTCTTTGCGGGCTTTTTTGGAACTTCTCCGTTGTCTAACGCTGGAGGTAGCATTGCTGATATGTGGGAATCGGATAAGAGAACTCTCACATTTTCGTTTTTTGGTGTGTCAGGTTTCCTCGGGCCATCACTTGGGCCAGTGATAGGGAGCTACTTGACCAAGTCGTATTTAGGTTGGAGATGGACGAACTATCTTGCTGCAATAATTGGCTATGGAATCACAGTGATTGTTTTCTTCTTTATGCCCGAAACTTTTAGTCCTATAATCATGGATCTCAAGGCTGCTGCTATTAGAAAGAAAACAGGATGTAAAGACTACATCTCTCTTCATGAGATTCAAAGAGAGGGTAGGTCGCCGTTTTCATTACGCATCTTTTTCCGACCTTTTGTTTTTGCAGTGACTGAGCCTATCGTCACTTGTTTTACTTTGTGTATTAGTATCAGTTATATTGTCTTGTTCACAGACTTTGAAGCCTTTACATACATTTTTGGTACTTGGGATTTTGATTTTGCTAAATCTACACTTCCTTTTATCGCAGTTAGTTTAGGTATAGTGGCAACTTTGTTGATTGTGACACCCATATCATATCACTTTTTTATGAAAGAAGGAAAGAAGCATGGTTCTATTGATAAGATTTCTCCAGAAATACGTCTTGTTCCGTTGATGGTATGTGCTTGGTTTATTCCCATTTCACTTTTCTGGGTAGCATGGACGACATATGAATCCATTTCGCCGTGGCCAGCTATTGTGTCTACGTTTTTTTTTGGCTTGGGTATGATGCAAGTTTTTCTTACTACTTATTCCTACGTCATTGATTCTTACGGGGTAAATTCTGCGAGTGCTTTGAGTACTCTAACTCTTGTCAGATACAATATTTCAGCAGGAATGGTTCACGTTGCAGATCCGATGTATCGTAATTTAGGAGTGCACTGGGCAGCATCGTTATTGGGATTTATAAGTTTAATCATTTGCGTCATGCCTTTCATATTTTACTTTTATGGTCCAAAAATCAGAAGTTATTCCAAATTTACCACTGCCTCAAAAGTCAAACCTCAAGAGGAGAAAGAAGAAGAGGAGGAAGAAGAAGAAGCGGGAATTACTGTTCCCTAATATTTATGACAACTTAATACTAATTTAATTATTTATTAGATATAATATAGGATTTTAATAAACTTTAATATCTCAAGATATAGTATAAAAATCTGAGCAATACGCTATGAAAGCTCGCCTACTTAGTTCACTATATTTAGCAAGTATATTACAAAGTGATGATGAATATTATCAAGAAAAGGAGAAACCCTTAATCTCAACTCTTTGGTTCAGTGGAATACGTTAAAAGTAAAATATCGCTTTCAACCGCACTAGACAGGTAAAGTCTGTCACAAAAGTTCTCAAATAAGTACTCCTTTGAAAAATTAGGACTCACCGTCAAATTATTTTCTAATCATCATCGTTAAAAACGACAATATCGTTAAATGTAAGGTTGCAGGTTCTCTTAATACCATAAACAGTTGGCATTTTATCAAGAACTTTATATTCAGCCTCAGGTAAACTTATTTGCAATATGTTGGACTTGATTCTAGAGGGTGTGACAGATTTTGGCAAGACAACAGTACCTCTATGAACACCCCATGCTATCAAAACTTGTGCAGTTGTCACATTGTTCCGTTCTGCAACCTCTACGATAGTTTTATTCTTGAAAAGAGGAGAATCATGAGATCCTAAAGGAGAGTATGCTTCGACAATAATTCCCTTCTCGTGACAATATTCAATTAGTTTATCCTGAGGTAGAAGTGGATGAACCTCTACTTGGTTAACTGCTGGAGTAATGGTTAACTCATCATCGGATAAAAGCTCTTCAAGTCTCTTTATAGAGAAATTTGACACTCCAATTGATTTGACCTTACCCGTACCTACTAATTTTTGCATAGATTTATAAGTGTCCAAGAAGGTCCAATCTTGAGGAATATCTTTCTTACCGTTGGGCAATATCGAAAACTTACTTTCATTGGATGGATTCAATGGCACGGGCCAATGCATTAAATAAAGGTCAACGTAATCGAGACCCAATTTTTCAAGTGATTCATCTAAAGCTTTACTCGCCCTCTTATGGTCTTGACACCATAATTTAGTAGTTAAAAAGATCTCTTCTCTGGGTATTTTGGAGTCACGAATGGCCATTCCGACCTCAGCTTCATTTTCATAGCCAGAAGCTGTATCAATGTGCCTGTAACCTGCTTTCAAAGCACATGATACTGACAGATAAGCTTGCCCCTTCTCAGATGCTTGCCAAGTTCCAAGACCAACAACTGGGATTTTATTACCGTCGTTCAATTTAAGGCTTGCTTCAATTATCTTTGAGGAGGCCATTTCTCTTCTTTAAAACTCAATTCTTTATTAAACAATGTACTTCTATACTGTTAGAAGATTGCGAACAGACAGAGAGCGGATTGGAAGCTTTATAGCAATAAGAAATGAAAAAAAATATTACTAATCTGGTATTTTTTGTTATCTGTATTTGCTTTCCATTTTAAGAAGTGTGCGCTAAAAGGTAGTGTTCAATGATGGAAGAAGATTTCTCATTATCATTACCTCTTCTCTTCCCACACAATGACTTTTAGCAAGTCAGTATTATCGATACAGTCCCACGTCTCGCATGGGTATGTTGGGGGAAAAGCGGCCATCTTTCCGCTACAAACTCAGGGTTGGGAGGTCGATAATGTTAATACTGTAAATTTTTCAAATCATACAGGGTATGGGTCGTTCAAAGGGTCTGCCATCGATACTAAGGAACTTGAAAATATATTTGATGGTCTTAATGATATAGACATGACTTATAATGCTGTAATTAGTGGATACATACCCAATGACTCGCTTATAGAAACCGTGAAGAGATACATACAAAAGCTTAAAGCGAAAGTGCCAAAGTTGGTTTATTTGTTAGATCCGGTGATGGGGGACCAAGGATACATATACGTAGATGAATCCTGTGTACATGAGTATAGACGAATGTTGGCCAGTGGAATGGTAGATATTATCACACCGAATCAATTTGAGCTTGAATTACTATGTGACCTTAAAATATGCTCCGAAGAAGACTTGAAAGCAGCAATTCACTCACTTCATCTGAAGTATGGTATCAAATATGTGGTTGTCACAAGCTTAGACGAGAACTTATGCTTATCCAAGAAGCCCCATTCGAATAAGGGAATCATTTATTGTGCAATTTCATGTGCGACGGAAACTGATATCCACGTCTATTCTATACCTATCATTAGATCATATTTCACTGGTGTTGGGGATATGTTCAGTGCTTTGCTTCTTGATAAACTCTACAACAACCTGAAAACTAGAGGGCATGGATTAGATGCTCTTTCCAAATCCGTCAATCAAGTACTAACTATCATGCTGAATACTTTGAAGTTGACCCATAAACTAGGTATAGAAAGTTACTACAAATCTAAAGGAATGCCTGTATCGTACGATACCAACTTGGAAGGGAAGATCAACGATGGAAGTAGCATGAAGTTCTTTGAATTAAAAGTAATAGAGTCTAAGAACTTCTATGATTATGCTGACGATGGAATATTTACACCAGATATAATATAGCTTCAGTTCTACGCAATTAATCAGTTTACTTGTAGTTGAGAAATTTTTTTTTTTTTTCTATTCTCCTTTGATAGCACGGAGGTGAGTCACTAAATATAGCGCCGTTCAGAGCTCTAATTAGTTTTTTTTATATTCTCAATAAGTAGCTCAAATCGCTATTGAGTATAACATTATATTAAACAATGGCTAAACCAAAGGTCCTTATCGTTGGAGCTGGAGGTGTTGGAACAATTTGTGCTTTGGGGTTGACTTTGAATGATCTTTCGGACGTAACATTGGTAGTTAGATCAGATTACGATTATGTGAAAGAGCACGGGTATACCATCAATTCTGTTACTTATGGGAACATTGAACACTGGAGGCCAAATCATATTTCTAGAACAGTAACAGAAGCATTTAAGAGTCAAGGAGAGTTCGATTATATTGTATTGACAACTAAGAATATTCCTGACGGTCCAATTACCTGCGAAGAAATTATTGAACCAGCTGTAACGGATAAGACAACAATTATCTTGGTTCAGAATGGCTATGGAATTGAGGTACCTATGATCAAGCGATTTCCCAAAAACCTTATTTTGAGCGGTGTTTCTTTAATTGGGTCTTCAAATATCAAGTGTGTAATTGAAAATTTACATAAAGATCAAATTTATATTGGACTTTTTAAGAACCAAAATGTTGATCCTGAAATTGGTAAGAGCAGAATCAAAGATTTTATTGAAATTTATCAAAGTAAGGATGATAAAAACAAGGTCATGATCGATGATGATGTCGAGAAGAGAAGATGGGAGAAATTGATATACAACGCAGTGTTTAATACGACGACAAGTCTAGTCAACTTAGATATTAATAGGTGTCAAATGAATAACGCAAATGACACAGTTTTCAGGCCCGCTATGAAAGAAATAGTGGCGATTGCAGCCAGTGAAGGTGTAGAAATTGCATCGCTGACATTGGAGTTATTTCTTCATATTGGAGATGGCTTGTTTTATTCTCCGTCCATGTGCGTTGACATGAGAAAGAATCAACTTTTAGAATTAGAAGTCATATTGGGTAATCCATTAAGGGTAGCAGAGAGAAATGGAGTCCCAACCCCATGCCTTAGTCTCTTGTACAGCTTGTTGAAGATGGTTCAGTTTAGGATCAAAGAAGAAAGAGGCTTAATTAAAATCGATAAATCTAAATTTACTGGAAATTCTGACGAATTCCCTCGTATATTAGCTGAGACCAATAAATAGATCAAGGTTTACATTTTATTTCATCATACAGAAAGTAGATTTAACGCAGACTTTTTTAATTCCATTAACACCATGTAAACACCGGTGGTTTATTTTTTACTTTTTCCAATCGTTCAATAATGACTTTTTTGACATCACTGGGATCATTTTTATTCCCGTGAGTGTCATAATTTAAATTGTATTCAAAGCCAGACATTCCTGTTTCTGGAGAAAGCGTCTGATGTGATATCTTCTTATTAGCTCCCTTTTTACTTGGTGAGCCTTTCAAAAGGGGAATTCTTTCGTGGTCCTCACCCGATTCATGTATTGTATCCATTCTATTTCTATAATCTTGTTCAGATGGATTCAAATCGTATATGCTAGACTCCATAGCATTAGTCATGACATCATTATTGATCAGACTAGGGGCATACATTACATCATCCCATATTAATAAGTTATCTCTTCTGGTGAGCTCCAAAGGACCTGCATGACTTAGTTTCAATACCTCCGTGACAATGAACGCCTGACCTTTCAACACAGCGAGTTGTCGAGACCACATCCTCTCCTTAAAATCATTATCCTTTTGGAATACTTCTTTTAACCGAACGACAGTCGTCTCCCACCAATGTGAAGATGTTAGAAGTGGAAGATAATGATTTCTAGTCTTCGTAGAAAAAGGCTGGCCAATGAGAGACAAGGGCAAAAATAGCCAACCAAAAGGGAAGGATCTCCATCCATCTGGTCTCTTCCAAGGAAATGCTAGCCCAGAATCTATCGCTCCTATTCGAATGTAAGGTGTCACCGTCCTATTTAAGTTATCAGCGCATACTTCTTTCCAATCAATCTTGATCATCCAATTATCAGAACCTCGATCCGTATTTCTCATAATGTAATCAAGGATTACCAACTTTTCAAGCTCTTCTCTAAACTGCTTCATAGAGCCTTTGGACCATCGGAACCTTGAATCCAGAATAGTCTCATTCAAATTAATTACAATGTCAGAGCTGTCGGGTAAGGATGACAATTCATTAGGCACAGGAAATAGCTTAAACCAAGTCAGAGCATCGGTATATTCTTCTAAAAACAACTGGAAAGAACCAATCTTTCTTGGTAACCTCGAAAAGTCCCTCGTTCTATCCCAATATGAGTAATAGAAAGAAGGGGATTTCAAATATACTATTTCAGTGAATGGAACAATATAAGAAAGTAATTGCCGGTCAAGCACGCATGCAGCAGCCTCACTTACGTAGCCTAGGTTAGGAATCAAGCACGCCCTACCAAAAAAACACGGAAAAAAGGTCCTATGAAGCCATTTAGTCCATTTTGGTGATAGTGGGCCGTATGGCTCTTCATCCTTAGGCTTGAACACACCGGCTTTATACAACTCAGAATGTCCCTCAACAAGCCTCTTGGCAAACACAAAGTAGCTACCTGATGAACCTTGGGCAATTCTCTGAGGATACAAATGTTCTATCTCTATTAACTCAGTAACCAAGTTTAACAAATTTTCGAATCCAAAAGAAGATATATAATTCTGGGGATATTGATTTGGCCAGTATTCCTCGCTTATAATCCTATGCCAATGCTCTAAAAAGTCATCATCATCTTTGATTTGTTTGAAGTATGGTATAGGCTTGAACACAGAGTACTCTATCGTGTAGGACGGGTCTAGTTTTTCTCTTTTAGACCTACTTTTTAACGGGGAATATGCCCACTTAGCTGCTGGCACAATGAAATTTTTTGTGAACTTATTAAAGTTACTTAACGATGCTATCGAGGATCGTCGACTGGGCTGACGTGAGCTTTGCTCCAATGACTGATCGGCTGGAGAGGATGCAATATCTATTTTGTGGCCCTCATTATTATTAACTCTTGTTTTCGGGCCCTTCGACCTATCTGCATCATGCCGTTCTGCATTCGATGATGCAAATGAATCGTCCTTACCAATCGGACTTGGTTGTAACTTCGGATAGTGTGATGAGTGTCCAGCACTTGTTCCATCATTCGTTTTGCGATTCAGATTCTCAAGCTCATCATATCCTGATGTTTCTTCATTTTGAGCTAGATTGCTTATCTTATTCAACTCTTCATTAGAGTCCTTCATGATGTGGTATAAATAAGCACCCCAACATAAACTAGTTATTAAAAGAGGGAATATTATAGTTTGATATTGTTTGGTACAATTAGGATTTACAGAAGTAAATACATCTGAGGACTGCACAAACTCAATATTTAGCTAAAATGTATTTCTAATTAGTATAAAATGATGATAATAGTAGAGAAAACAAAGACTTGATGTATGAGAAAGGGTAAGGTCGAATACTTTAAGAATATTGGCCCTAATTGATAGCTTTTAAGGAATTATTTTATAAAAATTCGGATATCTTTTAAATTAAGAAGGCGCCGCCAATGAAGAATGTCTGTAATGCTAAAAGACACTTAAAGATAAATGTGTTTGGTTGAATGAAATCTGCAGATGAATCAGTTGCTGTTTCAACAGTTGGAGATGATACCGACGAGGACACTGTTAATTCAGATATTTTAACGTTCTTATTTGCTCTCGTGGAAGTAGCTTTTGATGATGATGAGCTTGAGGGGAATAAATAATCATTCAATTCTTGGAACATGCCGTCAGACTCTAAATCCTTAATAATTTCCCTGACTGCTGTTGTATATTTACCCAAATAACTACCAAAGTTGAAATCACCAGATAGAATATCGCCAACATACGAGGCGATTTTTTTCGGATCACTGAGTGAGTCATCAACAAGTTTTGTAATATTGAGACTGGAAAGATCAATGTTTACCTTACCGGAGTTATAGATATCTTTGGTAAGTTTAACTGTCATGTTCAAGTATTCATCTGTCGCAATGAACCTCTTGACAGTATAAACGAGGAAGCCAGTATCATTTAAAGCAACAACTGTATCATTTAGCACATTCTCGAATAGAGATGAAGATAAAAGTTTGGCAGCGATATTTGTGACTAGCAGTTCTAAGCCGCTCTCTTTTGTATCTCTCTTCTGATTGCTAGAACTTGGACTGAGAACTGAATTGAGGATCACCAGGATTGTAAACTTGTTGTCCAAAACGACTCTCTTTATTAACCGTTCTATAGTCGGCCTGTAGCTCTTATCCAATAAAATACCATCCAAAAGAGATGTGACTAAACCTGAGTCTCTCACAATTTTAATAATAGATGATGTGTTCGTACCTTTTGTTAAACTTTGAATGGTGCTCAAGCTGATGCTACTTCCAGTAGAATTGATCAAGTTTGCAGTTAAGTTAGCAAGAACTTGAATTCTCTCATCATCTGATGAAACTTCGTCCAAAACATCCCAGACAATGCCAGACCTATTGACAGCATTTAGTACTGAAGCTATGACCTTCTCATTTCCATCTCTTTTTTGAATGTTTAACATGTCATAGAATTCGAGTACTTCTTCCATTGGTAGCATTCCATCCAAGGAGTCTTCCAAAAAAGCAGACAACTGGAAGCTGGTATCCTCAATGGGCATAGCACCTGGAAAAGCACCAACTAACGTTGCTATAAAGCTGCAAATGCAGACTATCGAATACAATTTCATTTGATTCTTTCCTTCAATATTAAAAAAAAAAATAAGGATGTAGTATCTTTGGAAAAGAACTTTAAAATATATTTAAAGTTATAAATTATTTCCCTCTTCTAATTCAATAACAAAGCCCAAGAAGTTTTCATCGATATTAGCCTACAAATTACTGAATTTGATATATGACATTGCAAAATGCCTAATCGGGAAAATAGATGAAGGTTGCCTTCAAGACATTCCTAATCGAGAAAACACCCTGACCCTACTATACACACATTTGTCCGTAAAGAAAGATAAAAACCAACAATATGTAATACAATAACATACCATGAATGCATAGAGTAAAACTTAATCGTCCATAATTAGTTGCATGATATGCTATAAGACTGGGCACAAGAATTTACTAAAGCTTGTACTGAATCATGGTTGCAATCATGTTATCAATTGCATTAAGGATATAACATTTATTTCTATCTTTCTATGTTCCTTAGCATCCATAGACAAAGCAAATGATCTCTTAAGAAATATTCTACTTCTTCTATTTCATACTACGTGCTCGATATCTCGTGCTATTATTCTACTCCCTTCGTTTTCAACTGCTTATACTCGCAGAATCGAAATTTCCTCTTTAGGAAGTTGTTGATCAAAAATTTATGTCTTGTATACAAACCCCACTTTAATGTAAAATGAAATATATGGGACGGTCTCCTCACTTTTCACAGCAGAAATAACTAAGTCGACAAGTAATTTAAAAGACTTCAAAGCAGACAGACACTTGAGAAGTGCTTCAAGGGAACTGGTAGAAGTATCCCTGGAAAGATTTAAATTAAAAGATACCCTGAGGCTCAGTATCGCACTGAGATCATTTAACAGCATAGAAAACTGCACTGATAATGAGATATTGGAAGTATATAGTGGCAGCTGTGCCACTTTTACATACAATAGTTGCTAGTTCAATAGCTCATCCAAGCTCAGAGAAGTTCATTTTGAAACCGGAATATGAAGAAATGGAGAGTTTGGTAAATGACTACATGGGCGACCAAGACAGTGGTCAAATTTTCGAGAAAAGAGATCAAATAAGTACTTTTGAAGGCATCATACAAAGCGTCAATGACTCTGGAGTTATATTTGACGTCTTACATGAAATTGCTGGCTCGGACGAGCAGATAGACAACCTTGCTAATACTATTACGACATTAGTTCAAAATGGTAGCACTATGGTGGATGGAGTCAACATTACTCTCAATTACACAAATATTTGGAACTCAATTAAAAAGTCTGGTTTGGTTGAATCTCTCCTAAATGGGTTGCTTTTAGATCCTGAAAATCGTCTGTATGTTGCAAGGGCGTCAGGTGGTTTGTTACGCCGTGATATATGGATTTCAAAAATCATTTATGATCTTGGTAATGGACAAAAGCTCACCGTTAAATATCTTGCAGATACCATACGCAATTTTAAGAGTAAGGCACCAGAATTAACCAAATCTAATTCAACTGATCCTCTAGTTTATAAAAGAGACGATGACAAGTATTCGGGATCTGCGCAACAATTTTTTAATAATTTGATAGGAGCAGTGATCAATTCTGAGTTAGTTGGTGGAAGCTTAGAAAATTTCCTTATTGCATTGAATAGAACAGGGGTTGCTCTTTCTGTTACTTTAAAAGTCCTCGGAGATGGCCAAACTTTATCAATGTCAAGAAAGCTTGTTAGTAAACTCTATGATAATGGGCTTTTCGACAACATTGACCTCGACAAATACTATTCGGATTTGAAGAAAGGAAACAAATTATCAAATGCTGTTCAAGTAGTTTTGACAAACCCAACTTATTCCCCAGGAGTCGCTAAAATCTTGCAGCAAATGGAAAACGATGGCGTTTTCTATGTGGTTCAACATGGACTACATGGCTTTTAAGATTTGAAAACCAACTAACACCCACTATCCGTAATATATTCTAGTAAATACCTTTCCTGTAAAACATAATATAGAGATCTATTTAAACTGGTGTACAGAAGTTGAACACTAACCTGCATAGTAAAAAGCCACAGCCTGCATAGAAAACTTTTAAAATAGATCGTAGATTAATGACAATAATACTAAAACCATAGTTTAACGTTTTAACACTGACTTAAAGTTGTTGACAGGCTCAAAATAAACGATTTTTGGTACAAGGGGTTCCCAAAAATAAAACCTGTTAGTAAAAAGGAGTACCCCAATTGAGTAAAATATGGCTGGGGAGTCTCATGTCTATAGCAGAGGGCACGAGAGTGAGTACGTGCTGATAAGATCATCCCGTAAGGCATTTCCTATTAGTAGCAGGTCGGAGTCTGTAAGCTCTTCAAGATGTAATACACCCGTGAGATTCGTTTCTCCTTCTAATCGAAATAAAATGAACCTGGATCTTAATAGCCAGACTGCAGAATATATACCAACTTTGAAACATAAGTGGTCACATACGCATTCAATATTATGTGTACTAGCGGCACCAAGCAAAAAGGTGTTGTTCTGTGGAACCCAGGATTCAAAGTTATTAATATTTGATATGGAAAATTATAATTTGAAGTTTGAAATCAACTGTGGACATATGGATAATACTGCTTCAATTTTATGTTTGGCTTTAAGTGACGATGAAAACCATCTTTTCAGTGCCGGGTCTAATTCACTAGTCAGTGCGTGGGACGTTTCATCTGTCAATAGTAAGAATGACTGTTCGATAGTTTGTACCCATATCGTCTACTCAGCACTTGATATTGGTGATATATTTTCCATAGCTTGGTCGCAGTCTTTGTCTACATTATTTATTGGAGCTCAAAATGCTTCTATACTTTGGTGTCAATTGGATCTAGCAGAAGAGAAAAAGGATGAGACCGGTAGTACTATGGAAAGGTTACCCCATCTTAGGTATGACAAATTCTTCGATTCCAAAGGTCCTGGTGGTTTGACGAATTTTTCACAGACGAAATACAAGCTGACTGACCGAGCAAAAAAGCATGACTTTGTTCATGATCCTAAGCTAGTAGAAGTGGGACACAACGACTTAATTAGGTTTGCTCATTATGGTTACGTTTATTGCATGGAAATATTTGACACATCATCTGAAAAATACGATTTCCTTTGCAATTATTCTGGAGCTTATAAAAATATATTAATATCCTGTGGTGGTGATGGTGTCGTCAACATTTTTGGTGTCAATGGTGGCTTAAATATTACGATCAGTAAGTTGAAGTCACTCGATAATCTTGAGTCCATTTTATCTATGACGGTTCAAAATTCGTATTTATATTTGGGATTGTGCGACTCTTCACTTAAGGTGTGGGATTTGATGACTCTTCAGTTGATCAGATCTTTTGAGTTCACATCTGATTCTGACACAGATGCTGAAAATAGAACAACATATGATGAAGTTTTGAGTTTGGGTATCTGCAATGATTGCATTTTTAAAGCATCTAACTTAGGAGGTCTTATCAAATTTTCTTTGAAAAGGTATACAGCCCCCGTTCCCCCAGATGATGAAAAGGGAAATAATAATCACCTTAGCGAAGAACTAGTTTCAAGTGTTGTAGTATATACCGAAGATGAAACTTATAATCATCTTTTTAATAGTTCTTATTGTCTCGAGAATGGGGCTGTTCTAGCAATCAAAATATTTACTAGTGGTCTGTCAACCTATTTACTATCTGGTGGGCATAAATCATTGTGCTTGTGGGATATTACTTCCGTTGCAGGAAATGACACCTTTCAAAATGTCAGCAACCCAATGGCGGCTGAATCTTTTGACCAAGATTTATCTAATGGAGATTTGATTAACTCCCTACGCCAGTTCATTTCCTTCAGGACCATCCTGAAGTGTCCAACATTATATTTGGAAGACTCTAGGCAATGTGCACAGTTTTTAACAAAATTATTTATTACGCTAGGGTCTTCACAGACAAAGCTCCTACCCGTAACAAATGGGAACCCGGTAGTTTACGCAAAATTTTCGAAGAATACGAAAGAAGAAAAGGATGAAATAAATTCGAAAAGGAATGCAAGGATTCTTTGGTATGCTCACTATGACGTAGTTGATGCGGAATCTGAAGATGATAGTTGGTCTACGGATCCATTCACTTTGGTAGCCAAAGACGGAAATGTGTATGCTCGTGGTGTATCGGATAATAAGGCGCCAACATTAGCAGCAATGTATGCTGTATCTGAATTACATCTGAAAGGAAAACTTTCATGTGACGTCGTGTTTGTTGTCGAAGGTGAGGAAGAATGTGGGTCTATAGGGTTCCAAAATGTCATAAATGAAAATAAGGCGTTGATAGGTAATATTGACTGGGTGCTTTTATCAAATTCTTACTGGATAGATGATGAAACGCCTTGTCTCAACTATGGGTTGAGAGGAGTGATCAATGCATCCATAACAGTTGAATCAGATAAGCCAGATAGACATTCAGGAGTTGACGGAGGAGTCCTGAGAGAGCTGACTATGGATTTGATACATGTGTTGAGTCAATTGACAGATCCTAAAACAGGCAAAATTAACCTCGAGGGCTTTTATGACGATATTTTGCCTTTAACGGAACGAGAAATAGATATTTACCGAAACATAGAGAAAGCCGCTTCATCAAAAGATATAGTGGATCAAGATTTGAAAACATTAATAGCTAAATGGCGCGATCCTTCATTAACCATTCATAAGATTCAAGTTTCAGGACCCAATAACAATACAGTTATCCCTAAGGTCGCTAAAGCATCTGTTTCAATGAGAATTGTTCCTAATCAAGATATAGAAAAGATCAAAGCCCTGTTGATAAATTTTGTCAATGAAAGGTTTAACGATCTTGGATCTGAGAACCACTTACTGATTAACATATTTCACGAAGCTGAGCCTTGGTTAGGTGATCCCTCCAATTTAGTTTATCAAATTCTTTATGAGAAGATTAAGGAACACTGGGGCCCCAAAGCACCGGATCCATTATTCATTCGTGAAGGTGGTTCAATCCCATCTGTCAGATTTTTGGAAAAATGTTTCGATGCACCTGCAGCCCAAATTCCTTGCGGTCAAGCAAGCGATAATGCTCATTTAAAAGACGAGAAGCTTAGGCTCTTGAATTTATTCAAACTAAGAAGCATATTAACTGATTCCTTTGAAGAGATAGGTAATAGTAATTAATTACAAAATTATTCAAATACTTATTATATGCATATAAAAACCTAATAAATTACATCTGATATCAACTAAACAAAAGAGCATTAATCTTATAATTTTTCTTTCCTCTGTTTGTGTAGCATATTCTAGAAACGTTCTTGGGATCATTAATTAATCTATTTAAATCCTTCAAGCCATGCAGTGTTCTATTATCCTCATTGAAATTTTCAATATTACCTAAATCGAAGTCCTTCTCGTACCATAACCAAGAACAGTGAGTAGGAAGCTTCCTTGTAGCTTTTGAAATGGAGACGTCATCTTTAAATCTTAAAACCTTGGGTCGCTCATAAAGTGCATCCTCTTCTTTGTCAGCACTTGAATTAGACACAGAAGTCGAATGCAGTATTGCAGTGCAAGAAGAGAGCACGGAGAGAGCACCGTCTAAACTCGAGATCGAGGTGTCCCTATGAGATAAAGGTTCCGGATCTTCAGTTTGTGCCCTTGAGCAATTTAAATCTGAAAAGAACCTCATAATTTCTTCTGCATGAATCCTATCCTTGAAAGACATCTTGAAATGAAGAACAATTTTATCATTAAATACAAGATCCAGCTCGCTTCGATGAAATTCGTACTTATACTGATCAAACAAAACAATCAAATATCTTGACCTTGTAGATTCAAGACCGGTTGAAATTGAGCTATGAATTGCAAAATCAATGGACGGTTTGCTCGTATTAAAGACAAATACTTGATTAAATTTGGAGCTGTATGTTGCTCTTTCTTCTTCAGATAATTCATTTATCTGGGTTATATCTAAAATAAAGAGTGCTTTCTGATCTATTTTCAAAACTTGAGCAGCAAGTAATATATCATTAATTTCTCTAGTCACATCGTTGAGTATTATCAAGCTTTTTCCTTCTAATTCGTCTATAGGTTTTTGAATGAATAGATGGTCTTTAACGAAGCAATAAAATGGTAACATTAAGTCAAATAAAAAGCAACAATCATGAATACTTATGTTTTCTGGTATTCGAATCAAGTTGGATGATGGATTTTTTATTTTCATGCAATCTTGGAGGCCACCGTCTATGGTTAATCCATAGACAAGGTTCGCTAGACACGCAAATTGAGCATGAGTGTTGTAAGTAGCAGTGGAAAGATGAGAAGATTCCCCTCTTAGTATCTCTTCACAATTAGAACACTTTTGAGGTAAATCTTGATTAATGCAGTTGGTGTAAGGGAATACAAGATATTTGGAATTATCATCATGTGAGGATCTGGCATTGTAATTAGAAAAAGCACTTATTTTCCCAACTATCTTACTACCCGGTACCACCGATGTTCTAATTGGCTTCTCTCTTAGCTTAAAAGCTTCAAAATCAGTCTGATAATTTAAACCAATTATTTTGACCCTTATGATAGCTTCTTCTATCTTATTGTTATTCCACTGGAGCTCCCGTGGTAGTTTCGTGGACTCTCTAAGTCGCATCTCTTTAGTATCAAAAACCCGTTTTACTGGTAAAGAGAACACATGTTCAGGCATCACTGTTCGTATTATAATATGCGTGATTGAATTATTCAGCACTTAGGAACCATCGCCCGTTCAAGCTTGACGTTTTATGATCAATTAATTGCAACTTAAGCTTAAATTAAATTAGGAAGAAGTAATTCATATATATTGCCACAGAACAACTGCCTTATTGTAAAAATATCTCCAATACTAGACGACGTTCTCCTAAAATGTAAAAAAAAAAAAAAAAATTGAGCCTACTGATCGTACTTCCTGCTTCAAGTGCTTTGTATATCGGGCTTCTCGCTCAAGTCTGTCGTCTATTATTTTTCAACAATAGGAATACGCCAATCCTAACCGGTTTTTGAATTACTGGACAGATTGCTCCGTACGATGCCGTTACACCTGCCGTTACACCTGCCTTACACATGCTCATGCATCAGGGTCTTCTATACAACTGTAAGGAATGTTATGCAAACAGCATTAGATCGCCATATAAAATTTCGTATAGCAAATCCTGATTAATGTCGCACATGGGAGATCTGCATGTCTTTTTTTTGATTCAATTCATTACTATTGAATCGAGAACAATTTATCGTCAGGTATGCCAAATTCAACTCTTTTACTTCAATGATCTTTTTTAAGTCAATTTGAGTTAGAAGAAGATTCTGGTAATTTAAACACTTGAATTTTATTGCTTGTAGCGGTTTTGTACGTCTCTAAAAAAAAATTTGAAGAAAGCAGTCGGGTTAACTTTGCAACCCTTTTTCTTCGTAATTACTTGAAAGAAACAGCGAAACAATTTTCCTTATCTGAGGGTTAATTGCCGTGTAAAAGTATCTAGTTTCGAGACAAAGTTCCTTATATTGGCTCTTGCCAATCACGATTAAGTCATTACAAGGATGTAGATCAGATTAGCGAAAAAGAACTTGAGCATTTTTTTCCTATAATAAGCTGGATAAGTGGTAGCTTGCATTCCTATATATTTGTGTAAAACACTCTGGGAAATGGGGCCAGTCGATCAAGAGATAGGATATAGGAAGCTCAAATAAAACGTACTTTTTATTCGTATTTGCTTGCCTTTCTCCTATTGTAGGGTGCTCCCAAAAGGCTTGTCTCATGCTGCAAAATCTATTCTTTTACATTTTCATTGGATTGAAGAGCTTATAATCCCAATGTATTTATAGAGTTATAGCACTAACTGAAGCGAGGATATTGGCGACTCAAAAATCATGATGGTATATTTATAAATAAAACGAATTCCATAAGTGCTCTTTCCAATCTTTTTTTAGTCTTATTTAATGAGGAATTATCCATTTGTGATTAGCATTCCGAAATATATTTCTGGACGTTGCTCAGTAGGAGTCACTTGGATCATGAAATCAGGCTTAATATACTATACCTGAGGAATATGCAGCCCAGCAAAAGGAGGTTCCTGCTTGACTTGAATTTCAAGTTAGAACCATCGCCTGAACTGGGTGAATCACGGAAAAGAAATTAAATTGCTTTTTACTTTAAGCTCATCAAAGGAAGAAAACCAGAATAACTTTACTCTTAATAATTAATTCAAAAGGTTGAAGAGTTCGTTCTTGGATTTATACAGAGATGGGTGCATAGTAAAAAATATATTCCCGTCCCTTCACAACATGCAGGTGCGACATATGCAATATACCGAATCTACGCAGGCAAACGCAGACACGATGGTTGCCCAGTGCTTTACGACTGCTTCTAGATACTAGCAACATTAAAGGAGTCCGTAACCGAAGCGTACTGTTATTTGAGAAGTTTTCCTGCAGTAGACGAAAAGTTCACGAAGGTAGCTGTTCGCAGAAGATGTGAAAGGAAAGTTTATTACTAAAAGTACACATTATAACAAATTGACAGCACTCCGAGCTCTTGTAATTGGCTTTTGCCTTATAATATAATTCTTATACCTGATCATACTCTGTAAAGTAAGCACTTGTCTAATACTGAAACAGAAACGACCAATGCAGATAGCTATATCTGATAAAACTATTTATTGAGAGGTATTACTAAGCTCTTTCAAATATGCTAAAGTTCCTCCTGCAACAGGTCTATACTTAGAGCCTTCAAAAGAAGATTCATTGTCCAATGTTTTACGCAGTTCGCCATATCCCCCTCCCCCAGGGGTTTTGATGGTGACACAATCGCCAGCCCTGACTTTGAATTGAGCAAATGCTGGTAAGTGTATCCAGTGAATTTTTCCATCACTCCTTTTTCTTCCTAACTTATTTTCACCTCTGGCACCTTCTTTGCCACCTTTGATCCCATATGGAGCATTAACCCTTCTTTGGCTACGAATTGTGCACTCCAAGTCATCAGTAAACTGCACACTTCTTACCAAGCCGTCTCCTCCATTATGCATCCCTTTTCCACCCGTATTGCGTCTGATTTTGAATTCTTTGAGAATTACCGGGTATCTTAGTTCTAACACCTCAGGATCCGTAATCCTAGTGTTGGTCATATGGCATTGTGTCCCTGAATACCCATCGGCATTCTTGGTTGCACCAGATCCTCCTCCTATAGTTTCAACCATCGCAAAACCTTGCTTCATGATACCATTTTCGATTCCTCCCTTCCCGAAAGCCAAGGTGTTATTTGAACCAGCCGATGCTCCACTCACCTCAAATGCTTTCAAAATAGTGTCGTTCAATCTTTGAGAAGTCGTACTGTTAGCGGCAGAAACAGCTACAAATGGAGAAGGATTTAACAACGTCCCTTCAGGGATGATGATTGTCACAGGCTTCAAACATCCCTCATTCAACGGGATATTAGAATTTAGCATCAACCTCAATCCATATATAATGGTTGCGTAGGTGATAGAAATAGGTGCATTACCACAATTGTAAACCTCCTCACTAGTTCCAGTGAAATCATATATCACAGAACCATCCCTCTCGTCAATAGATATCTTCACACGAATAGTGGATCCATCATCAAGAATTTCCTCAGCAGTCAAGGGTAACCTATTTTTATTTTCGGTTGCGAATTTCGAAAGAAAAGACCTTACTGCCTTCTCAGCCGCTTTATTGACATTCTTCATGTAAAACAAAATCACTTCAGTTCCATATTCCTTGAAAAGCTCCTTTAAATTATTGACTCCTTTTTGGTTGGCCGCTATTTGGGCTTTCAAGTCAGAAAGATTGTCTTCAAGCTTTCGAGTTCCCGAACAACCTTCGTAGAGGCTAGGCTCCTCTACAAAATACTTGCGAATTCCATTATAATCAAACTTTCCCTGACTGACAATTTTCCAAGCAATAAATTGTGCACCTTCCTGAAAAAGCTCCGTCGCATCAGCAGCACAAGATCCAGGTGCAGATCCGCCAATTTCTGCATGATGTGCTCTTGAAGCAGTGAAGAACTGAATCTTCCCATCAATGAATACAGGAGAAATCAAAGTAATATCTGGCAAGTGTGTCCCACCAGCACATGGATGGTTAGACGCCAATATATCTCCAGGATGGATGTCCTCGCCCCAGTATCTTTTAGCATAACGAATACAATGCGACATTGATCCAAGATGCACCGGAACATGTGGTGCATTTGCAGTAAGTTTGCCTTCATTATCAAACAAGGCACATGAAAAGTCAAGTCTTTCTTTAATATTGGCACTGACACTAATTTTTTGCAAGGTTCTTCCCATTTCTTCGGCAATAGCGACAAACCTGTTTGAAAAAACGGACAATAAGATAGGATCCACGTAGTCAAAAGAAACATTTTCTTTCTGACCTTCTTCTATATCAATGATTAAATGATTCGGAAGAACAATTGCTTTCGAATTCGGAGTAACCAATATAGTCTGCGTTGTGTCTAAAATTAGGGCAGGTCCTTTGACTACTGAACCTTCGGAAAGATCTTTCAAAGAATAGATTTTTGACGAAAGTTCTCCCTCGTCAAAAAGAATATTACGAACTGCGATTTCATTCCCTTCGGCTGGCTTTATCTTTGCAACCTGTAAATCTTTATATGGCGACCTTGCAGTAGTCTGAGAGACTTTTCCACATCCACGTACACGGACATCCAGTACTAGTACCTCACGCTTATCATCAACAAATGAGAACTCCCTAAGATGAGATTCTGTGAAGCTCTGAAGAAAATCACCATTTTCAGGTTGTTCAATCATTAATCTAGTACTAGATCCAGAATAGCCCATGTTGAAAAAGATCTTGAGCTCGATACAATCTTCACTGACCGATTGATCAAGAAGCTTTTTCTTCACAGAAAAAGATAGCTTCTTACCCTGTTCTAATAATTCGATTTTGGATTGCTCAGAATATACTGCCAGGCATGGCATTTGTGATTCGTGAACAACATCAGCAAGAGCAATACCGTAAGCCGATAAAATAGAAGAATACCTATGAATAATAACTCTCTTCATCTTCAATATAGTGGCAATAGAACAAGCATGCTGTCCCCCAGCCCCTCCAAAAGAAGCTAGGTTATGTTTGGAAACATCAAAACCTCTGCATTCTGTTATGGCTCTGATTGGCTTTGCCATGGAATAATTAGCTACTTTCAAAAAGCCTAGCGCCACTTCCTTAGGGGTAAGATGTTTTTCAGGATTATCTTCATTAATTTCTTGAGCTAATTCAGTGAACTTAGTTTCAACTGTATCATAATCGAGAGGTTCATTCTCGGATTTACCAAATATACAGGGAAAATATTCAGGTATGATTCTACCAGTAAACAAATTTGCGTCAGTTATAGTTAAAGGTCCTCCTTTACGATAACAAGCAGGTCCAGGATGTGCTCCAGCAGATTCGGGCCCAGCTTTTAACGTTCCATGCTCAAATGTTAAAATTGAACCTCCACCGGCAGCGATAGTATTTATATCTAGCTGAGGTGCCGAAATCTGAATTCCAGCTGTAATAGTCCTGAAAACATGCTCATAATGCCCCGCATATCTGGAGACATCAGTTGACGTCCCTCCCATATCGAAGCCAACAATTGGCGTTTTTTCTTCAGGATCAAAACAAGTTTGTGCCTCTCCAACAACCCCACCAGCAGGACCAGAAAGTAATGCTCCTAATCCCAGAAAATCATTCCAAGAACATATTCCTCCATCTGATCTCATAAATTCAATCCTAGTGTGTTCTGCAAAATCCTTCTTAAAACCACCAATGAAATTGCGAACATAGCTCTTTAAAACGGGTGTGAGGTAAGCATCACATACGGTAGACTGAGATCTAGGAATCGATCCAATCATTGGCATTAACTCATGAGAGACAGTTACGAATTCAAAACCTAGATCCTCTGCTATATTCTTTAGCTTCTTTTCATGTATTTGGTAATTGTATCCATGGATCAAACAAATGGCGACCGATTGAATACCTTCTAATTTAAGTTGTTTTAGAGTTTCTACTGAACTTTTCACGTCTATCTCCTCTAGAATCTGAAATACTTCGCCAGTGATTCCTTTGGTGTATTCTTTTTCATTCTCTCTGTTATAATATTCCCTCTTATCAGGATCCTCCGTATACGAAGGGAGAGTTACTCTTTCATTTATTTCAACAACTTTCTCGTATAGTACACCAGGTTTAACAATGTCGAGTGCAAATAAATCAGGTCGAGATTGATAACCTATCTGAAGCATGTCTTTAAAACCTTTAGTAGTGATAAAGGCAGACCTGGCTCCTTTACGTTCCAATAACGCATTCGTAGCAACTGTGGTACCAACACGGATGGAAGAGATACACGATGTATCTAATGGCTGATCTTTTGGCACACGAACTCCCGTAGCAAATTCAATAGCTCTTCTAATTCCTTCTATAGTAGAATCTTTGTAATTCAAAGGGTCAACAGATAACAACTTGAAAACGCAATCATCTTGTCCAGGAATTATAGCTAGGACATCAGTGAATGTTCCACCTCTATCTACAGCTATCTTGATATTGGATAAAGTCATTCTTCTTCAAGTAATTCTCTTTGCATGTAAAATTCGAAATTGAATTGAAGAGTAGTCACCATTAAAATAGTCTGTCGGAGCTTCCGTCATGGTATCTATCATTCTAGTTCCTCCAATGTTTCATCTCAAAAGATAAAGAATAGAATCGGATTCGTCAACAAAATGACGGCAAAAAATAAACTGATTGATAATATATCGGTAAAACCGACAATGCTTGACGGGATATCCGAATAAATAAAGGCTGGGCAGAGTTTGAAGAAGATTCTGAAGATAAGACTTTCTATTAACAAAATAGGACTAAGCACAGTCCATCACAATATTAGTCCAGCAGTCTGTAAAACAGAGCTTCGACTTTTTGTTAGACTTGAAAAAGGTGTTATACTTGACGAACTTTAGCACACTAATGAAAAGATCAACACAAAAGCTTCTACCATTTCGTGAATCCAAAGTTACCGGTTGTACTATGAAGTAAATATTTCAGCATAAAGATCCCTCTAAATCACTTGGGCAATTATAAAAATATCATCCGTGACATCTTTTGTGATAAGATTGGTGTGTCGGATTTCCCGACAAATCTGTCGATAAATTCTTAAACATTAATGATAAGAATTCGGAAAAATGTGGGCAATATAACGAGGGCTGGGATGCAAGGAGATAAGTTATACTATAAGATAAGTCAGTTGGGGCGTTATTGATCTTCTAGGATCTTCTGTAAAGCTGCTTATATACTATAATTTTCAGATGAGTAGTACAGAAGTACACAACGAGAAAGACGAAAAAGCTGATGCATCAAATATAGAGCTTCATTCTGTTTCTGAAGAGCTCAAGGATGAGAAGAACATAGACCTTGGAGTCAAGTTTTTATTACAACATCCCGAATATGCTGACTACTCACCTGAAGAGGCTAAAAGAGTTTTATGGAAGATTGATTTACTTCTCATGCCCATTATGACTATTATTGTCTTATTAGCAGCGGCTGACAAAATCCTTATTTCTAATGCTGCTGTATATGGTATGAAAGAAGATGCTCATCTAGTGGGTTCACAATATTCCTGGCTAGGATCAATTTTTTACTTTGGTTATTTGGTGATGGAATACCCAGCAAACTATTTACTTCAAAAACTACCTGTCGTTAAAACATTATCAATTTCATTTATTTTTTGGAACATCATTTTAATGTGCATGGCCGCGGGGAAAAGCTTTGGCTCATTAGCTGCAATGAGGTTCTTGTTAGGTATGGGCGAGTCATTCTTATTTCCTGCCATGACCGTTATTACTTCAATGTTTTATACGAAGGCTGAACAACCATTGAGAACTTCTATCTGGTTCTCTGGTTTTTCGTCAATTATAACCGGTGTTCTTTCTTATGCTTTAGGTCATTCAAGTGCACACATTGATAAATGGAGACTTCTTTTCTTGGTCTTTGGTGCTATTACTTTGTTTTTCACTATAATAATGTATTTTATTCTTCCTGATTCGCCCATGTCATGTCGATACTTTACTGATAAAGAAAAATATATCGCAATCCATAGAACACAGCTCAATAGGACTGGTATCAAAAATACCGAATTTAAAAGAGATCAGCTAATAGAAGCACTTTTGGATTGGAAGACTTGGGTGATGTGCATCTTCGTGTTGAGCATCAACATCAGCAATGGAGGATTGGTTACTTTTGCGGCACAAATTGTTTCTGGACTCGGCTATTCGCCACTTAGAACAACTTTATTGGGCATGCCGACTGGTGTCTTTATGGCAATTAGCGGATGGCTAATTGCAATACCAAGTAAATATTCACCCAAAAGATTTAGGACTGTTATAACTGCTATAGTATGTATCTGTCCAATAGTTTGCTGCATTTTAATGATGAAGGTAACCAATAACCATTCTCGTTTGGCTGCGTACTACTTTTTCTACTTTTACTGGGGACCTTATGTGAGCATGATCACTTTATCAATAGCTAACACATCGGGTCATACAAAGAAGACGGTCGTGAATGCTGCTGATTTCCTTACATACTGTGTGGCAAACATTATTGCACCACAATTTTTTATTCCAAGCCAAGCCCCTAGCTATCCCACAGGCTATAATGCTATCTTGGGTTTCACTGCAGTTGCTTTAGTGACTATTTTGATATATGGTGTCGGTTGTGCTATAGAGAATAATAGAAGAGAAAAGACGTTCGGTCCTGCTTCTGAGAACTTCGATAGTAATGCAGATGCTTTGGATTTAACAGACAAGCAGAAGGAACGTTACTTTAGATACTGTTGGTAATTTTAATTCTTCTCTCATAAACTTCTCATATTCTATTTTTCTATTTCTCTATTTTTGATAACTTTAAGTAACTTCAAGCAATAGCTTCATGTTTTGAGTCCATAGTTTCATTTGTAGTCTTATCGCGAATTTCGCAATCTCCAATTTTGCAATCAACCCTTATCAATGGTTAATACAAAGGCAAAAACGTCTTAAAAAACTGGTTGTATTACAATTCACACCCTTTTACCTTAACACGAATAGATACTTATCAATTTGGTGGCCATAAGGGTTTGTAAGGAGCTACTGTCAATCATTTCATGTTGTAATTATTTGCAAGCTTCTCTGAGATCAAGGTTCTATTGAAGCGGCAGTTGCGTATCATAGTACCATAATCTTTGATATTTTCTACTTCTCCTTTGGCTTTAGACGACCTTTGTACAACTGCGATAAGATGAATGGAATGGCAAGGGCAGAGATTAGTCCAACTTGCATCGGGGGTTCCGCTTTTTATTGTTTCCAAATGTATGCCTAAAACTCTGCTTATCGTCAATATCGGAAATATATCTAAATGGGATCGGAAAAGCCGAAACTGGGTACATATAGGCTGTTAAATTAAAATTGATTGAAGAAATATTCATCAGTCGTATATGAAATCAACAACCATGAGTAGTCAGAAGGTTATAGTAGTTGGCTGCGGAGTTTTTGGCTTATCTACGGCTTTAGCTTTTGCAAAAAAGGGATATCGAGTGACTGCTTTAGATTCCTTCGAGACACCTTCCCCATGGTCAGCCGCTAATGATCTAAATAAAATCATACGTATCGAGTATCCCGATGAGATCACGGCAAAGTTGTCAGTGGAAGCATTGCAAATGTGGGAAAGTTCGCCTATATACAAAAACTGCTTCGTGAAGTCAGGAAGATTTGTGTTAAGTCCTTTCGACTCTTCATCTAAAAGATCAGAATATGAAAAAAGAAGTTACGATATTATTGAGCTGCTTGGTGTCAAGCAGCGCATTGTTAAAGTTACTAACCGAAACGATTTAGAATCGTTAGTCCCCCAATTTAAAAACAACAATTTACCTGAAAACTTTAACGCAACGTATAATTATGACTGTGGTGTGGGACTCTCTTCGAAAGCTCTTCGAGAAACATTTAACCTAGCTAAAGCAGAGGGCGTGAATTTTATTTTTGGTGAAGACGGTAAAGCCACAGGGATACTGGATAATATGGTCACAGTAGCCTCTGGAAAGGAGTACTTCTCCGATATCATTTTAGTGGCTGCCGGAGCAGCTTCAGGATTTCTAGTTCCATTAGATCGTCAAGTCAAGCCCTTTGCAGCTTTTGTTACACACATCAAACTTACTCCTGAAGAATATGAGAAGTACAAAGACATTCCTATCTTTTTCAGTGCTGAGATTGGATATTTCTTTCCTCCAGATGAGGAAAGCCATGAAATTAAACTTGCTCTTACAACATGTGATGGCTATGCCCTAGAATCAGATCCATTCAAACCTAACGAGAAAGTTAGACTTCCACATTTTAACACCGACTACCCTTCACAGACATTTCCTGAATGCGGAAAGAAAGATATCGCTAAAGTCTTGAATCTAATTGTTCCTGATCTAGCTTCACACAGTTTAGTCAACTCAAAGACATGTTGGACATCAGATTCTTGTGACAGCTATTTTCTAATCGACAAGTGCCCTTATTATAAAGGAGTTTATGTGGCGACGGGAGATTCGAGCCATGCCTTTAAATTCTTGCCTAATATTGGGAAATATATTGTCCAAAGGATTGAAGGAACCCTTTCACCAGAATTGCAGGAAGTTTGGAAATGGAGAGTAGCCCCTGATTTTGACGGCAAGCTTTCGAGCAGATACCCTAGACCACATTTAAACTTAGACGAGATCAAATTTATAGACAACTGAATTCAGAGATTACTCTTGAGGTAAGCTGATAGCACCTGGCACGGAATAGACACATGACTAAAATAATACAGTAAATATGTATATCAATACAGATATAAGTTATCTCCAATCCTGGTATTTCTTGAACTCACCTTCATAGGGAATCAAAAGTTGCATTTCTTTCAGAAGCAAAGGAAAATAAAAGAGTTATTTTTTGGTGAATCCCATTCTTCAACGACTAAGGTGATACTTGCTTAGAATGTAGCGACTTATATTGATTTCGATCTACCTTCTAAGAAATTTTTTACTTTTTTCAAAATATAAAATATCAATGCTATCAATGATATCATAATTTAAACACATCAGGATTTCATTCAAATTCAAGCCTTCTCCAAAAATCATCATCAAATGTAAAATTAAAAAGCCGATCGTTGAAAGATAAGTTATTACGGGAAGCGAAATGAACTTCTGGATGAATAATTTCAGCGTCTTTGAATACTTCTGTGCGATTATCTTCATCTATATCCCGATTGTATAATACGCTTTCGCTCAATTTTTCGAATAAAGATCGATAGATTTCTGCTTCTGGATCTCTTTCTGCAAATGAAAATAACAAGCTGTTCCAGTTAGTATATCATCATCCTGAAAGTAATAAAAGAGTACTTACTTTGAACAGGCCCTTATGTCATTGTGAGCTCTTAAGTCTGACGGATTACCAAGATAGCACATGCAGTAGACGGATGTAACTCCTGCCAAAAATAGTGTATGCAATGAATATGTGCTATATCCAAAACTGCCTTTTGTTAGTGATTCTAGTATGAGAAATGCTTGAATATATACTTACAGTGCATCCTTTTGAATTCGTTTGAAACATTGGCAAATATTACCTGATGTAGCACATGCCTTCAATAGTACCTCCTTCTCTACTTCTTTGCCCAGTTTAGAAGTTATTCTTGGTAAAATCAAAAATAGTTTCATTCTGTGATAATCAAGTAGTAGATAGTCATACGTCACTTCAAAATTTAAACTATTTCATTATTAGTAACCGCTCGTCAAATGTTCCATATATCCAGAAGATTATACACATACCTTTCATTAAAATCGTTTCTACTTGGAAGTCTCGCTAACCATTCTTCTAACTTAATACTTAAAGATTCATGAGTTTCATTCAAAGTAAACTCGTTGTTACCACCGTAAGTTAAAATGTTTAGACAGCCTTCTATTTGCCTTATTCTGCAAGTCTCTACTAGATATGTAATAGAGGTCACAGGCTGAGAGAAAAATGGATTCTCATTTTGCAATCGTTGCAACTCATATAGGTTTTCTGCCAGAATGTCTACCAGATCAAGACTCAAAGGAAAGGGAGAATCAATTTCTATATCGCAAATAGAGAGTGTTCTTCCTAAAGACAACGAAAGTAATCTATCAAATGCATATACAGACCAGAATAGCCGTTTGTCCATTTCATACTCAACCGCGGTTTCCTTTGAAAGAGATTTCTTTCTGTGTAAACCAAGCTGCGTCAATTTCCTGATAGCCATTCCTGATAATTCCCAAACATTCATGATGTAAGAGTTCTTTGAATTACATGAATAATGAAGATAAAGGGCAATTTGCATACAAGCCTTGATTTGCTGCCTTTGGGTCAAGGTAGGAATTTCAGTGAGGCTCTCTAGGCATTTGTTAAAATAATACTCACAAGAATGCCAATTCGAAATCTTCTGAAGTTCAGCTATTCTTCCACCGCTTGCAAGAACGGTATATATTATAAAATTATCCCAAGAGCTTCTCAAACTGGGGTCAGTAGAGAAAATTTGAATAATCTCAGCTTTTTCGACAAAGTGATACCTATTTCTTAAGAATCGTAAATAGCATTTCATGAAAGTACGTTCAAGTTCAGCCGAAGCACGTACTGAAGGTACGCTGCCCGCTGAATTAGAATGATTCAAAACATTATCTGTCAAAGATTTTTCGTTGATTTCATTGGTAAGTATCTTTCGAATGGCTTGAACTTTAGAGATAACTGCAGCCTTTCCAATATACACTTCCTCATTAGATGGCTGCGTAGCAAGCTTAATTATTGCTAATTTGTTATGGTCCCCTTCAAGACCTGCGCGGTATTCTTCTACTCTCATAGAGCTTGATGTCAATTGTTGTAATTTTGCTTCGTATTCCTTGACCTGTTCCATTAGCTTAGTCAACTTCGCTTCTTGCTCTCTACTATTTTCAATTCCATGGCTCAACTCTCTATTGTAATGACATACATTTCCAGAATCTCTACACCCATAACATGTTGGAACCTTACCATCACACTAATAAGTTAGTATATGTTCCTATATTCTAGAAATCCTCATTATTTACCTTTTTCTTACGCTTTTTGCAGCGAGTACAAGCTACCAAAGCCCTCATTTTGGGATTGGAGCTATCAATAGGTTTTTTATGTATATTCATAATCTTTTACACTTAATAAAGCTTCTTTTAGAGTCGGAATTTCCGACAATAGATAAGATATTTAAATCACGGGACTTTATTGGAAACTGCATCTAATTAGTGAGATATATTTGAGATAAGAAATTTAATGCCATCAGCTACGGATGGGAAGAGAACATAGTTAATAGTTAAGCAAAGAGGGCAATCTCAATTTACTTAGAGAAGAAAATCAACAACTCTCCTTGTGATTGACAGTGTCAGGCATATTTCTACATTTTCTTGTTTTCAACGCAAGCTCATTCATTACGATATCCTTTCTCAAGTTTTTTCTCTTTCAATTACTATCAATTGTGATAATATGATGAAATAACAATATTTGTGATCATGGATCTACCACCGTATTAATAGAGTTTTGTAGCAGAATCTAACATATCAGAACTAAGGAAGCGATATAATATTAGATCATCAAATAACTTGAAACCAAAATAAAGAGTTGATCCCGAAAAGGAACCCAATTTAAATAAATAAAATTAGAAAGACTGATTTATCGTAAGCCTTTATTATGGCAACTTGAGACACAAATAGTGAAGTTTCTTTTACAGGAATTGAAATAGCGAAAGTGTTTCGCAGAGACGAAAAGTTCATGACAGTAATTCATGGCATCGTTTAATAATATATAAATCCGAGAAAAACATATATAGATGATCAAGTAGAGGGCAGTTTCTTCCTTCTTTCTTCAAGTTCGACTTTCTTCTTTCTTTCTTCTTCATCAACAAGAGATAACCTCAAAGCCTCTTCAATCATCCTTTCCTCCATAGGATTAATACGGGAGCTAGAGCTATGCGTGTGTCTTCTTCTGCTAGAATTATTATGCGTGCTTCTCCTTCTGGATGCATCATTGCACTCATCGTCATCCATGATTAAGTTGGAAGCGTGTATAGCACTTGCTGTGGCCGCCTTTCTAGCGAGTTTGCTTCTTGCAGAATTCAATTTTATTTCCCAGTCAGGTCTGATCATGTCAGTCGTAATAACCCCAGGACCATCGGCAGCTATCGAAGTTCTCCTGGGAAGCTTAGCAGTAACATGTGGTGCACCACTGTCGCTTTCAGGAGAAGAAGATAATGCGGAGCCTTCTGGTATGCTTTTGAATGGTGCAGAATATCTCGATGGCTTGATGCCATTTACCCCAGTATTCAAGTCCTTGGGGTGATCGTAAGTGACTCCAAAGTTCGGCAGAGCGCAATATGGACAATTAGCCGCTTCTGATATTAAAGAATGTGGTAGTTCGTCTGAACCTGGTTCATTAGAAGAATCGTCATGTGGAGGATGGGGATCAAGTCTTTTAATTTGAACAAAGCATTCGGTGCAAATAGGTTGAACGCAGCAACGAGAAATGTTGAAGTTCGGGGGATAGTATAAAAAGCAAATAGGGCATTCTGATGCATTTCTATAAAGCCGCAATAATAAGTCTTTTGATGGCAAATCAGGAGAAGCATCAGTATCGCCGTTCTTTAGTTTCTGTTTTTGCTCTAAAAATTTAGATTCCTCTTCCTTCTGCAAATCTTTGATTCTGTATACCAATGATTTAAGCTTGGCCTTCTGCTCCTGTCTCTTGTAATAGTTGCTTGATTTGTGAATCTTATGGTTATCTACATCATCCTCTTCTTCCTCCGAGAACGCCGCCTCAATCGAATGTAAAGGCTGTTGCCCTAACAATAAGATTAGCTCTTCATCAGTCCATGAATCATCAAAATCTTGCAAAGGTGTATAAAATGGAGCTATCAGACGATTAACAATCAACTCTCTTACGATTTCAGTATCGTAGTCTAGATTAGACTTGTACACCCCAAAAGGAGCTAAAAACCCTCCATCAACGTTGTCTGTATAGTTAACAATAAGGTTAAGGTAATGCTGATCTCTCTGCTTGTCCTTCTCCTCTTGTTTCTTAGATTTCTTCAAATCTCCTAATGAAGTAGGAAATACATTAGAGCTGATTCCTCTTCGGCCCAATCTTCCTGCTAGTAGATCCGAATGTGTTGTTGGACTAGAAGAATATGAATTACCTCTACTCCCACTCTCTTTAGCCGGAACATTACCCATATTTTGACCTTTTAAGATAAATTCCGTCTGATGTAGGGTACGAAGACCAAGTTACTGATATGATACTATTGTATAGTTAGAGTGTTATAGGTTACATAAAACAACCGTAAGTTGCTCACGAATCATCGTAGTGTATATAATCCAGATTCCGGCTTTATCGGTCACACTATAATTTTAGTCGAATTTATACAATCCTGTATGTAAGTTATGGGTATTTGATATCTAGATCTATATATTATCTATTGTGACCATTCTGTTTGATAATCAATTTCTTTCGCAAAGTATCTTACAAATCTCTCTTTGAAGTCCTCGAGGGAAGAGAAGGGTTTTTGTTTTTTCTCTTCATTGAACCAATCTTTAGCTTTGCCTTCTAGGTTTCTA